GGGCTCTGGGAGGGAGTTGGGTGCAGAAGAGGTGAGAGGTTGGGCTCTGGGAGGGATTTGGGTGGGGGAGTGGGTCTGGGGTGCAGGCTCCGGGAGGGAGTTTGGGGGCTGGGGGGACAGGGAGGGGTGCAGGCTCAGGGAGGGAGTTTGGGGGCAGGAGGGGGGGTGTGGGAAGGGGAAGGGGGTGCAGGCTATGGGACGGAGTCAGGGGGTGCAGCGCTTATCTGGGGCTCCAAGGCAGGGCGGGCCAGGGGGCCTCCGCGCCCTGCTGCCCCCAGGCACCACCCCCACAGCTTTCCATTGGCCACAGGGGTGCTCGGGGCAGGGTCAGCGCGCGGAGGCACAGCCCTGTCCTGCCCCGCCCCACCTCTGGGCCACAGGAAGGGGCCGGCAGCCACTGAAGCGAGCAGGCAGATGCTGCTCAGCTGCGCTGCGCTGCCGGGGCCCCTGGCGGGGGGTGGGGGGGAGGAGTGCCCAGGGGCGGCAGGCAGGACCAAGGGAGAGACCCAGCCCCAAACCTGCTGGAGCCCCACGGGCCACATTGGGGAGGCTTGTGGGCTGCAGATGGCCTGTGGGCCGGGAGTTTGAGACCCCTTCTTTAAAGTCCTAATGATACCCCTTGAGAAGTCTTAAAAAAACACTACTGAAAGCCAATTTTACCTATATTAATTTTTTCTTCTTTTAAAAAAGGATACTAGGGATATTTGCATAACAGTATCTTTGTTGTTTTTAGTATATCAGCCCCTGATTATCTCACTTGAAGTCCTAATTCTCCATTCATAGCATCACAGTTGGCTGCTGTGGAGAAGAGTGTGATGAGAGGTGGAATAAGACTTCAAACGAGGAGTCAACAACAGGAATGAATAGCTGACCTTGAAAACAATACGCATACAAGATACGCATGCATAATTACTACTCCTTTCTAATGGAGTCTCACAACTGTATCTGAGGACATAAAGAGGTCCAGAATATTTTTCAAAGATTTTTAGGAAGCATCAGTTAGTTCTGAGGTATTATTGTCTACAGTAGCACCCTAATATTATTTACATTGTCTTCAGTTCAATTATCTATGCTATTATGAACTGCCTTGATAGTTTGAAAGGCTAATTGCCTTATATGAATGAATGCAGCCAGTTTTCCTGTGTATGCATAGGAAATAGAAGATCAGCTTCAAAGCAACAATATACGCTGCCTATTCTTCATCCAGGAAAGGTCTTGCTGTGGCAATT